AAATTGTCAAGGGGGTGATAAGCTGAAGTGTACGCAGCTCAGAGAGTAGCTGTATGAGAAAAAAACATTTGTCCCCCACGGTCACAGATGCTTTGTGCACCTCCTCGCTATTTTCATGGCTCATGCTGCTAATCCTCTCCTTCTTCAGCTCTTATAGAAAGATTGTTCAGCAGAGAATATGTGGCGAAATAAAACATTTTCTCCTTATAAAACACCCAAAAACACCAAAAACGTTAAAAAGGAAGGTGGTCCAACTGAGAGATTTTTTTTGTAAAAAAAAGTAAGCATGATGTATGATGTCTGAGTGAAAAAATACCACGACAGTCTTCACTCAGCACTTCCTGTACAAGGCCAACAGGCCATCAATGAATAATACAGATTAGCAAAAAATTCAAACAGACAAACTGCAGACAAACTAGAATTGATGGCTTCCACTGAGCAACTCAGGGAACAGGCCATGACGTAAAAGGAAAAACATGTCGTGTTCCCCCGGCCAGGTTAATCAAGACAAGCTTCCCCTGCAAAAAGACGTGTGTGTGTGTGTGTGTGTGTGTGTGTGTGTGTGTGTGTGTGTGTGTGTGTGTGTGTTTGATTGCAGTCCATGTGTTTCGTGTGTATGTGTGAACCCATTTCTCATTCATAATATGCAATCTTATTTTACGGCTGATTGTATTTGCCATACATGGGCTGTATGCATGAGGTCTTTGCCCATGTTCCTCTACCCAGCACAGCATAAATAAACAGGAACACTCTATAATCCATCATCCTGTGTGCTGTGGGAGCGTGCCCAACACAAACATGGCTTCTGTTTTCTATCTGTGTGTACGTCTGTGTGAGAGAGACTGTGTGTGAGGGCTAGGATGGGTAGCGCATATTATGTTAGTGCTCGGTCCATGACTGTGAAACATAAACCGCCTGCACTAAATGAGGATTACACAAATGAGCTTCCTCTTCGCTCTTTGTTTCTGTGTCCCACTGTCTGGACATGACGCAGAGTTGAGTACACTTTGTTTAAATACCCCCACGATTCTTTGATGTCCTTTTAAGATGACTCTGAGTTTGAGAAGGGCTGATGATATGTTAAAATGGCATGTTGGAAAAAAAAACTGGCTTACAACTACAAGCAATTTTTTCAAGCATTTATTTTATATTAGTTTAACCATGAAGAACTGTTTATGAATTCATTTGGCCTATAAAAAAAATCCTTAACAGTATGTCAAACAGTCAGTGTATTTAAATAGACTAAAGTCCCAAGCTGAATCCACGGACTGGCTGGGAAAATGTGGAAGCAGGAGGTGATTAACTACCATACTTGCCTTCCTCAACAAAGTATCGTTAAATTCCCAAAGAGCACTAAACACCAACTGCCCCAATGGAGCTGCTCTGAGGACAACGGAATAAGACTGTGGTTGTTTTAGGCAGCTCCCAGGTGTGAGTGTTCTCAGTTGACATTTAAGGGTAATAAAAACTGTAGAAACTTTTCTGGTACAAACCTGTGCATACACGATACATCTTTGCTGCACTTGTTGGTCCAGTTAGCCGACCTATTTTTATCATGTAGTTATTGTCAGTGGAGTCTACGGTTGGCCCCACAGAATGTAGGGTATATATCACTTTTAGCCGTGCTAGTGGTGGGGCTTCAGCATCGATGGATTTGTCGTTCTGTTAGTTAGTCCACCGCTTTGGTCCAGACTGAAATGCTTGGATGAATTGTTATTACATTTTGTACGGATCTTCATGACTCCTGGTCGATGAAATACAATTTTTTTTTCACATCAGCCTCAGTTGCAGGCTACTTTGTAGCTACTTTTAATGCCAGTTAGAAAATGCCAGCATGCTAACATGCTAAACTCAAAAGGGAGAACATGGTAATGTTAGCATCTAGGTCACAGAGCTGCTAGTATGGCTTTAGACTAAAATTCAGATTACATTTGATCTTGGTGTAGGCCTATTTGCACATAAATAATAATCGTTGAGATATTTTCTTAAAATGTATTTTTTGAATTGACAAAATAGTCTGACACACTCATACTGGACCATGATTGCACAACAACCAGCGTCACTGTGAGTGGGGCTCTAAATGAGCTTTAAAAAAATAATGATTTAACAAAAGCCAATATTACTAAATCATTTTTGTCAAAATACATTTCTAAGTAAAGTTAAGAGTATATTTTCGTGATAGGGCCTCCTTAAGGCAACATAAAGTAAATATGTAGCCTACCTAAAGCTTCACTATATGATTACTTACTTTGGGTAATTGGTGCCTTATGTCAGATTTATGGTAACAACTGACGTCATCCACAATATTTTCTGCTTAAGCCTAGATTGACTTCCCTGTTGCAGTTCTTGTCATACTACACCATCAGCTACTCTGGAGCAGAGATCCAAATAGTAACAATGGTGGGGCTATTGTACCCAGCATAATGCACTTTACAATATCCTCATTCATTGCATGAGGACTTTATTTACAGAACCCTCTGGGTAACACAATGCCATGCTCTGATCACACACCAGCCCACTGCATGTAATTATCCTCAGCCTGCTCTCCAATCTGTCACTGCCCAAACTCATTTGTAAGTGTGCATGTACAGTGATTAAAGAAACTTCTGTGCCTTTGCAAAAAAGGGGGGATTCTATCACTCCCCTCCCGCCCTCCTCCACATTCGGGGAATTCTCCAAGAATGAGTCGAAGCTGCCATGTCAGAACGAGCCAGGCAGATGTGTACAGATCGCCAACATTGCTAATGCATCTACAGCACTGGTGCAGCAGTCAAGTCATAATAATTAAAGACATACAACATCTCAGGACTTCATTAATCACGGTTTATATGGACTTTGAAGCCCTAATGAAAAACAGCCTGCCTCTCTGGGTTTATTGTGTCTGTACAAATTGTGGGGATGGCGTGCGCCAGGAATGCCCCCCTCCTGACCGGCTGTTACAGGATGTGGTGATGGAAAACAAAAAGATAAGATTTGGTGAAAAGCTAGTGATGGTTATAGAGAGGTCAGTGGTCAAGGCTGTTTATGTAGACGCTGAGCGCCATTCAATCAGACAAAACAGAGCTGCTGACAGTGATGGCAGTGTGAGAAGTCTTTGTGTTTGCACATTTGTCCTCCTCAATGGTCGATGTTCTCTGCCCTTGGATGAGCAAAATGAAGGCCTGTGGTGCACCGGAGATTCATCTTGCACTGTCATGTATCATCATCTTTGATTTGCTATTAGTTTCTCAGATTCTCACCACGCTCTCAAGCCCTCCTGGAGGTGCATTACAGCGAGATCAGAGTGAGAGATTATTGGGTATTAAGCTCTCAGTGCCAGAAGTGGAAATTACAGAGAGGTTGTCAACGCCAGAGTTCTCTGCTTGTTTTTTCCTAGACAGAGAGAGAGAGAGAGAGAGAGAGAGAGAGAGAGAGAGAGAGAGAGAGAGAGAGAGAGAGAGAGAGAGAGAGAGGTAATGCTTTACTTAACACGTTTCATCCCAATGGCTTGTGACTGGTCCCTGGCAGCGCTGTCAGTGGTGAGTCACAGCCAAAAGTGTGTGTAGCGCAACAAAAGCAAAGGAAGACAGAGAGGGAGAGACTGCTTAGGACTCGAGCCCAGGACACATGCATCTTCTCCCAATAAAAGTCCCTTTGGCAGGTTTACATTGCATTAGTTCACTGAACCCAAGAAAATATACAGTGGAAGGGAGAGAGGAGAGCAACTATCATCTGAAATGCAAAGCATGAAGTAATTTTATTATCTCCCTAATGATGTGTCCTGCCTACAGGTGCAATATACTCCTCTTGGTTCCAAAGGTAAGCTATAAGCAACATTTCGTGATTCTATCCATCTGATTACTCCACATTAACACCATACATACTGTATTTCTACAGTATTACTACTCTCTCTATATAAACTCTATAGCTATCTATGTAGAACGTAAACCTTCGCCTAAATACATGGAAAGAACAAACATTTAACAGATAAGAGCCAAAGAGTTAAAGTGTGTCCAGTGTTGCTCTACAGTAAAACTGAGTTCTGTGTGGTAACTACCTGGCAGTGATTCATTTCCTGTCCAACACAAGTTCTTCACTTAAAATTGTCATTTTATGGAGTGCCTCTGAAAGAATACAACTGACAGATGAAAGTTAAAGTGGCCCCTTGAAGTAAACAGGTCAAAAAGCTCTGAGTTTGCCTGAATTAAAGGGGAGAGAAGGGGGTTTATTTGAGAGCCAACAAGCATCGTGCACTCTGGACCCTGCGGTTTGTCGGCGTTCCTCCCAGGTGAGCTCACACTGGGCCGCTCAGGAATGGCAACCCCCACCTCCCTCAGCCCTGGCCAGGAAGAAAAAGTGTCCTCTTCGGTTTGACTCACACAATATTTTGCTGGTAGTCAAAACAAAATTAGCAGTGGTTTGTTGTTTCTAGTTAGCTCATCCATGACCCCTGTGTTCATCATTTCTGAGGATAAGGGAAATGTTTAGTTGCCACCTTAGTTTCTAGGGGATTAGGATTAAAGAGATCAGAGTAGTAGCTGAAATTTATAGTTTAATTCACCGTCAATGAGATGATGGTGGTAAAACCTTATACAGGAGAAACTCTGTACTGGTGAGCATGCGTTCTGTTGGATTGTCATAATATGAGTTCCTTTTGTCAAAAGCAGCATCCAACGTCAAACAAAGGACTGAATCATCTAATTAAGGAATCACATTAATCATACAGTTACATCTATCCAACAGGCTCCATAACACTGGAACTATTAATGGAGAAGACATAAGAGTTATTAGAAAAGGGGGCTGAAATAGTGTTGAATGTTTTCTGACTAAAAGTATTACTCTATAAGTTTTGTTAATGTTGGTCCAGCAGTAGGAGCTCACCTAGAAAAGTCAACCTAGACAATAATGCCACCTTGTGTTTAATGTGTGTGTTACAGGCTAGTATCCAGCTATAAGTATACTCCATTTAACTGTTTAGGTTCTGAGAACAAAAAACAAATTGAGAAAATAACTCACAAGTATACAATTTAACAATAAGCTTTATCATTGTGTGTTCTTACATAAATGTATATGTCTTTCACAAAAAATATATATAACATCATTTTATTACAATGCATTATTAATAGAGTCTTGAATAAATAACAGGTCATTTAGTATTGCACTTAATTGCTTAGTGTGCCATTTATGTCAGTATTGACAAAGCAAACTTCATGGTAAGATAGCAGCATTAAAATGACACAATATCAAGATAACATCTCTCTGAACAGGCTCTATTTAGTCTTTTTCTTCATCAAATTGTTAGTTTTTTTCAGATTTCCAGCACGTGTGTATCTTTTTCTCTCTGTCCTCCACAACTAAGATTGGAAATAGATTTTTATCAAGGCTGTAAAAAGTTACTTATTCTCAGAGTGGTCTCTGTTTCATTTCCTAGGCCATCCACCTCATCTGCCTCTCGCTGTGTCCCTCTGGGATGCAGGAGGAGGTAATAGAGCACGAGACACACCAGTCCCAGCACCGTGCCTCCAAAGATTAAACCACTGACTGTGAGCAGAAACGTGGCTGACTGCAACTCTGGCTTAAAAAAACCCAGCAATAAAGGAGCCATAATGTGCATAAGAGAATAAAAGAAGTAGTAGATGATCATTTCTATTTTGGTGTCCTGTCCTTTGACGTTGAAAAAGGTGAACGTGAGTATGACTCCGATGACCGCTCGGTACAGTAGCTCAAGGCCTCTGGATAAGCAGAAGTTGGTTTGAAGAAAGTGTGTCCAGGTTGTTCCTAGCAGCCAGAGAACGGTGAGGGCTATTGTTGTGTAGGTGCTCAGTATGAGGAGGAGGGCATAGCTCAGGATGTGGCTGGTGATGGTGCAGAGTTTGTAGAGGAGGTATATTACTGTGGGGAGGCCAGAGGGCATCTCCTTGAAATGGCGGAGTGACCTGCGCAGGCAGCGACGATAGTCCACCAGGGCCCAGGCAATGTTAAAGAAGGAGAACGTCATAGATAAATCTGAAAGAAGTGAATAGGTGGTATAATTAATTATACTGTATATTCGGAATTAGCAGAAAAATTGACTTCCTGCTTCTACTTACACTGCAGGACTGAGCACTCTGCATGGCCCAGCACTATGTACAGTTGTAGAAGCAGTTGGGGAACACTCTCCAGGAAAGCCTCAAACAGTTTGAGCATGCTCAGATCAGTAGCCATGCAAAACAGTTTGTGGTGCACATCCCCTGTATGGGCATTTGCTGTCGTCCAAACCACTTTGAACCCTTGTTTCAGCAGCTGACAATACCTAGCAACAGGTCAAACACAATGAAAACAAAGTCAGACAGGTTGTTGCCACCTATTATTCATCTGTTGCCGCTGCACAGATGATAATGCAGTTGCAAGGATTCTTCCAGCAATACACAACAGCTTAAATGTGGTTATTCCAGTTTGCACATTCCATAATAACACACCATTGTGCATTATTAGCATAGTGCACATTTTAAGTCATACCATGCAGGCACTCCTTATTGCAGGGTACACAAGCATAATAACAAAGGTCAGTGGCTTCTTATGCTGGAGTGCTCTTATCACTGTCGTCACCATTCGTCATCACTAACTCCATACCTGGTGAAGATGCCCACGCCAAACAGGTGCAGGACAGCAAGTCCACCTTTGGATATGCCTGATAAGGTTGGTCTTCCCTCTGGGTTTATCAGAGCATCATTCATGTCATCCCTGTACCAGGCATAACTGAAGATCTGCGTCACCAGCAGCCCAGCCAGAACAAACGCTAGAGTCAGTCCAGTCCACACAAAATGTTTATCCTGAAAATATTTCAGCGCCAGTCCAATGTCTGTCCAAATGTCCACCACATACATGAACAGTCCAACGATGGTTAATAACCATCGCAGTTTTGTATATTGATTGTCTGACTGACTCATTTTGTTGTCAGTTGAAAAGTTTAACCAAAGGTTTCACTCTGTGATGAAAGTAGAAATGTGATTGCATCTGAAGCATCTGAAGAAAAGCAGCTGTGGACAGTTTTGAGCTGGACCCCAGCAGTTCAGGTGCCATTTTGGTCCATCTGTAAAAGCATTACAATGTGATTTTAGAAAATTTTGTGTTCTTAATATGCACAAACATTTTGTTAAAATTTCATCCAAGTTTACCACAATGTAAAACAAATTACAGCTCAAGGCCGAAGTCTTGAAATGCAACGTGACTGCAGTCAGCTGCTGTGTGACAGTCTCCTGCACTTTGATCTCTATCATAAACACTTCATTATATGCAGGCCTGATAAATGGCATACGCACAGATGTGAGGTTATCAGCAGGAACAATAAAATGCAATGCAAGCTTGCGTATTCCAATATATTCCTTATATAACATAATGTATTTTTCTGGCACTTCTCCCGAGATAACATTTGAAAACCTATTTACTGATTCACAGAATAACTACAACTCCGCTCCTTTACATCCTTTAGCTTCAACATAATTTTAAGCTGTTTAATGAGAAAAAAGACAATGCAGATAACCAACCAAAGGAAAAGATTTAAGAGAAAACTAATTCAAGAAAGCACACTATCAAGATCAAAGTTAATACTTAATTTTGATACAATAAAGCCATTGTTGTGTTAATTTATTACAAAAAGTAATACATTATGTAAATGTATTATTATAGCTCATATCCTGCCTTAAATAACACACAGATATTAGTGCATGTCATCCTACAAAGATCACAGCTCACACTAGGACACTCACACAAACAAAATAGTAATTGAACCTACCAGTATAATGTGCCCACGGTGGACAGACAGCTACGTACCGTCAATGAAAGCAAGCACCTCTACAAATCTTTCTCTTTCCTTGAAACTCATGACAAGCTCCACCTCTGTGACTGTGAGTCAAGCAGGAACTTTTTCATTACATAATAGCTCTTGTGCCTGCCTGCATGTACGTGTGTGTATGTGTGATTGGGTGTGAGCTTATACTTTAAATTCCCTGTAGGAGTGTTGTATCCTTCAGACATTACAGAATTTTTTTGGATGGCTTAAACTTCAGCCAGCCAGTGACGAAAGTAAGTCTTTACAAAGAAGCATGCATGAAAAAAGGTGTGTCTTTTGAGTGCTATGAACAGAAAGTGTGATGTCACACCTCACACAGTGGATTTCCTGTAATAAGTACTTACAGTAAGCGTGGGAATATTATTATCTCAAAGCAGAAGCCTTGTAATGCACTTCATATTTTCAAAAATGCAACAATGTAAACTTGAAATACTTTAATACTGTAATAAATAAATTGTTTTAGTTGTACGTTTTAAGTTGTAGCTATATTATGATATAGGCAATCATATTTAGAGTTAAATTACATACCTAAAGAAGACTTATCTGGTATAGTGTGACCAATAGCTGATTGTGACTCAAGTTAGCGAAAATTTAAATTTTAGGTATTGCTGTGTAACTGACATGACTGACTATATGAAGCTGTTCTACTTGTTCTACTACTTTTAGCATTTAGCATTAAACCATAACAGCCACCAAAGTCGCATAGTCATACTTTAAGTCTGTTCATTTTAATATGCTTGTTCATGTGTATTCACATAAATCAAATTTAAATTCAAATGCAGTTGAAAGTAAGGACATCACTGACTTTCAGCATTAACAGGAGCAGTGATTCAAGTTACACATACACACATTTTTTATATGTTCTCTTGTAATGTCAGGGCCATATATACAATCAATATATGTGCATGGTGTATGAATCCTGAAGTATTACAGTACCCAAAGCTGAAATAAACAATGTCTGGTTTGCAATGTCATTAGTTAGTTTATAGTGTTTTGATCAAAGGTCCAGTGTGTAACATTTAGAAGGATCTATTGGCAGAAATGGAATATAGTATTACCAGGTATGTTTCATTAGTGTATAATCACCTGATAATAAGAATCATTCAGTTTTTTTATATGATATAATGAGCTGTTTTTATGTACGGAGGGAGCGGGTTCTTTACCACAGAGGCCGCCATGTTGCACCGCCATGTTTTTAAAGTCACCCTGAACGGACAAACTAAACACTTGCTCTAGATAGGGTATTTTGTGTTTTCCACAATAATCACAGCCACCGTAGTTTCTTTACCGCTACATGCCACTAAATGCTTCCTGTCTATCTTCACCTGTCACCTGTATCAAAATAAAGGCACAGAAACATTTTCTTTAAATTAAATATGCTTAGTTTCTTTGTTATGCATAGTCCAATGCTTGTGAATCTGTAGGGTAAATATGAAGCAACACTCTTTCTTGGCCCAGTGCTGTAACTTCCTGGAGTCATTAGGTTACTAGGCAACCGGCTGTGAAACCACGTCCTTTTTACACTTATAATATTTAAATAGCTAAAAGTACATGTAATATATATTGATATAGTGTAGATATAATGCAGTGTATCTGTGGACACAGCATACTAGCTATCCCCCCTGCTGCCTGTCTTTATGCTAGACTAAGCTAACCAGCTACTGGCTGTAGCTTCACACTCCTCACAACTATTGGTAATGCAGCCTGGTTTAATGTACAATAATGTGTGTCAAATGTTTTAATTTTTTGTAGACTGAATAAATATAGCTTGGACCAGTAAATCCAAAAAGGAACCCCATGTAAGATGTAGCTATCTTTGAGTTGGATAAAGTACACTAGGCCAGTGGTTCTCAAATGGGGGACGCGTACCCCCTGGGGGTACGTGAAGGCACTCCAGGGGGTACATGAGATTTTAAAATATACATATATTTTAAAAAGTAGCATCCATGCAAAAATCCTTTCAAAATAATTATTTAATAAATATTTCAGGAAAATATAAGTTCATAAAATGAATTTTATATTAAGTATTTGCAATAAATGTAGTCATGGATTATTAACATTTAAAATGTTTGAAATAGTTTTTCTTTCAAATGTTTGAATTTTGTATGTGTTTATCAGTTCCAAAGTTTAATAAATCAGACACTGATGGCACAGTGCTCTGTTTTAAGTATTTTTTTTTTCAACCAAAAATGCTTTGCCCTGGTTAGGGGGTACTTGGCTGAAAAAATATTTCACAGGGGTTACATCACTGAAAAAAGGTTGAGAACCACTGCACTAGGCCATGTATAGGCTGTGGGCTGTAGCCATTGTTGCACTCCAGACCTCTAGGTGGCGATAGAGAGCCGCATGTGTTTCTCTCCCGTGCGTAAAGAGTGTCGTTGGTCAGGCGCAGCGGCTCTCTCTCGGTGGGCCCTCCCACTAGTAGAAGAGTGACACGCCATTCAATTGCTGCCTGGCCCTTTGCTCGTAGGAAGCAGGAGGGAGCTTTGAGCGTCCTCGCACCGAAGGATAACAATATCTGATAGAAACCGACCACATCTGCGCTGCGTGAAGCAAAAGTTGGGCCGAATCGAGTCGACATGGGGATCCGAAAAAAGACCAACAAGAATCCGCCGGTGCTGAGCCATGAGTTTGTCATCCAGAACCATGCAGATATTGTTTCCTGTGTTGCTATGGTGTTCCTTCTCGGGCTGATGTTTGAGGTGAGTCCAGTCCACATGTTGAATGGGTTTTATTTGTGGGTCATGCGGGGATGCTCGCCCCGGCACAGTGCACGGACTGCTGGGAGGCAGGATGCCGAAATACTCCGCTTCTGTTCTCCTGGAAACTGACATGGCTGTCTGATCTATTCTTCACACGACTTCCTCCCGTGATCCAAAGTTTTCTGTGCACGATGGCCTCGCTTTTGCTTTTTATTCCACTATAACATCAACTCTACTCAGCCAGGTAGCCCGGCGTTAGGTTTCCACAAAACCCAAATTCTTTCTTAAAGCGACGTGGGAACTAGTGTCCACTTTCCATCTGGCTGCTTCTCATGTTGAAATCGATATAACAAATCACTCGTCCGCAGGCCCGCGGGTTTGCTCTTTAAAAAAAAAAAAGCAAAGTTTTCCATGTGCAACATTGTGTTTTAAAAGTATCTCATCGCGTCGCAGGTTTGCAACATTGTAATGAACCTCGGTGGTTACAATATTGGGCAACACTCTCGACTTGGTTAGTTTATGCGTAGATGTGTTACGTGGCAATCATACAACGACTGAGAGGGCTGTCATCATCACAGAGACCCGCTCGCACCAAAACTGAAAGTTGTCCTTGGAGCTCGGCGGCGGGTGTAAATGTGACCGGGTGCAGCGGGTCGGCGGGCTGCCCTCACACCGTCCCTGTGCTCCCCCCAAGCTGCTCTACTTTAACACACATTTACGGTTCATTTCGAGCATGTTTCATCCTCAGTGAAAATCAGCGCCATTAGCGTCGTTTTGGCGATATTCTCAACTACTTCCTGTTTTTGTTTTACAAAATAAAATTCATTTAATGGCATACGCTGCTGCGTGTATAGAGTAACGTAACGACGGCGTAAACAGTTTCAAAATAAAGTCTATTTATGATAGTTTAAACTAAACAGTGAGTGCGTCTGACGTGTGTTTTAATTTCAATTTGGTGGCCACGTATTTCTTTTGTTGTGAAGGAGGAATAAGCTATTTCCTATTTTAACCTTATTATTTGGCTATCTTGATGCAGCTCTGTTTGCTTGGTTGAATCATGTTTAATTTCCCATCACATATCAGTCATATTACCCCTATGTAATACTGCTGATTAATTGTAATCCACAAAAGTAAGTCAAGTCAAGCATGCATTCATTTATTATATTCCTAAGACCCCTGAAGAACGAGTTGGTATTGCTTTTTCACCTTTTTTCTGTCAATAAATAAATAGTATTGCATAATTCCGTCTTATCTTTGTGTCTTATCATCCTAAAGTTGGGGTAATATATTGCTAAAATAAAACATGTTACTTTAATTTCAATAATCATATGTCAGTTACAGTCACTCAGTTATGGGTTGTGCAGTGATTGGCCCAGCATATAAATGCAATGCTTTTATGTGTATAAATTCAAGTAACTTTTATAACCTGTTTGATTTTACAGTAGTATTTGGTCTGATGCTTGTTTAAATGCCAAATGTGCAGGCTCTAAGTACTGTTTTCTTTCTATCTACAGGTCACCTCAAAGTTTGCAGTGTTGTTCATAACTGTCCAGTACAATGTCACCATATCAACAAATGGTGAGTTAAGGATTATATTGACAGTATAAGACATATGGTGAGAACAGATGACGATGTATGGATGTGTAAAGTGAATACAGCAAGTTTTGGCTTTAATGTATAATGCAGTATTTTCTTTGAGTTGTCTGGCTTGAAGCCTCTCATTTGGATTCTAGAGCGGTACTTGCGTGGCCTTACACAAACCCATTTGAGAGCTCCTTTTTTCCCTTTGGAGCTAAATTTAGTCCGCCTGATTTATAAAGTTCTCTTGTGGCAAGGTTGTGCCGGGTGAATTTGGGCTAAGGTGTAATATAGGCCTCTCAATTCAAGTCCTGTTCATTTCAAGGTTAACAATTTCTTTGCCAACTTCAGATACTGTTGAAGGAATGTTCGACCTCAGAGCTTTTTGTACTGTTGCAGACTGCCAGCTGGTGATTCAGTTCTTATCTGAGAGACCTGGCCACTTACCTAGCTCTGTAACTTATTTACAGCATGTATCAAATTAGGCAAATAACATGCAGCAACTAAATCTCTTCGTAGTGGAACAAATTCAATAACGCCACTGTGTTTTTTCTTTGTCTGTGCTGACTTTTACAAATAATTGGATTGATGTCTTTATTTGGCTGCATAAACAATGAGCAATGGAGCACCGCTCAGGCTTTCTGAAACTGTTTGCTGACAACTGTGTTCATGTATCGTCTATCTCTGTGCTACAATTCCTCTCATTATTCAGTATTTCTCACAGATACTGGGTTTGAGGCTGTATAGATCATATGTAACTTTTGAGGGATAGAAGAGGCTTTGTGCTGAGACACTCAGTGACTCTGGTATTTTCCAAGTGGTGTAATACTGCACGGGTGAGACTCACTAATCCAAACACCTTACCTCTGGAATTAAGGTTATTAAACCTGTGAATCACTTGTTTGAATTGAACTTAAAATGTCTCGGCAGGTCGTTGTTAGGATCAAAAATCTGCATGAACTGGGTATATACCACACATGCACATAAAAAGTAGATGTTTTTTTTAAATCATGCTCACTGTGATGACTCTGTCTGACCTCTGTGCGAAGGCCCAGAGGAGACGGCTGTGAACCACTTCCACCATGGCATCAAGGACCTGGCCACTGTCTTCTTCTACATGCTGGTGGCCATCATCATGCATGCCATTATCCAGGAGTATGTGCTGGATGTAAGTGAGACACACACTTGAGTGCACAGACTTCAATCTCTGAGAGCGCTTCTGCATTGTTTATTTTTGTTCTTTTTTTTTTTTTTAACAGAAAATCAACCGGAAGAAGCACTTCTCCAAAACGAAGCACAGCAAATTCAATGAGTCCGGCCAACTCAGCGCTTTCTACTTATTCTCCTTCGGCTGGGGCGTGAGCATCCTGCTGTCTGTACGTACAGTAGCTAAGCTGGTTTTACATATATTTTAAGGCCATAAACTGACTGTCAGTGCATGTAATTTAAATACTACTTTGTTCTTAGGAAAACTTCCTGTCCAATCCAGTCACCCTGTGGGAGGGTTATCCCCATACACTGATGCCGTAAGTTGTAATGTTGTGTGTTTGTGTGGAGGTCATGTTGTTTAAATTGACACGAAACCCTGTCACATATGTTACTTAAATGGTTATTTTATACATATATACATATATTAAGTATGTAAGTAATATATAAGTGTGGGTCTAAAGAATAAAAACTTTTAATTTTGTAACTTTCTTTCAGATTCCAGATGAAATTCTACTTCATTTGTCAGCTGGGCTACTGGTTACACGCTCTCCCAGAACTGTATTTCCAAAAGACAAAGAAGGTGTGTGTGTGTGTGTGTGCATGTCTATGTGTATGTGTGTGTGTGAGTGTGTGTGTTTATGGTGGGCCCATCATTTTGGAATAGTATGACGTGCTGTTTGGGCCCTGAGGTTGTATCCTGTTTGACTTCCTTGGTTATGTTGCATTGTTTGAAAGAAGCATACTCTTCTTGGTTAAGTCTACATGCAGAGCCACACTGCTGTAAATATTTTGTCCATTTTTGCCCTCCCATCTTTTGTGTTTGCTGTTTAGGAGGATATTCCACGCCAACTTGTGTACATCTTCCTGTACCTGGTCCACATTGCAGGCGCCTACATTCTGAAGTAAGAACTGCCACTTAAAAAAAGCCTAGAATTATGTGTGTGATTGTGTGTTTGGACACCAGTGGTGTCCCCCTGTGTAGTTCTTGTCAGTTGTAATTCAGGGAAATGGTGTCTACTTGTGTCTTTCAGTCTGAACCGTCTGGGTCTAGTCCTGCTAGTGTTGCACTACTTTGTCGAGCTCCTGTTCCACGTGTCCCGCCTGGTCTACTTCAGCAACGAGAACAGACAAACTGGGTGAGTTCTCATGTGCAGCTATTAATTATTTCAGATTTATGGCGTGTGCAAATTTCATGACATTTTTCCCAGTTAAGAATGACTGATTGTGTAGAAGTCTTGAATGCAGTATCATGGTCATCCTCTTGTCTTCCAGTTTCACCATATGGGCCGTCTTGTTTGTCCTTGGACGGCTGCTCACCCTGTCCTTGTCAGTCCTCACCGTGGGCTTTGGCCTCGCCACAGCTGAGAATCAAGGCTTTGATTTGGCTGCAGGAAACTTTAATGTTATTTTTGTTCGGTAAGCACCTTTGAGAAGAGAAACGTGACTACGTAATGCTAAAATAATATTTTATAACTGCTGACATTTTGCTGCTGAATTGCAGTGAATTTAATCTGGTCTTAAAATCTGCCAGCAACAGCCTTTTTAAGCTTAACATTCATAAAGCCACAAAAAAAATCCACTCTGAAATATATCTTTAGCATTATTAGCTGCTTATTAAGCTTATTTTCTAATTCCCGTGAGGCAAAAGTGAATCATGTCGAGATATTTGCTGCACAGCTGCAGTGGAGTTCAAATAAACATTTAAGTCATTATAAGGATCATCCATCAACATCGGGTTGGCACTTAGAATAAAGGAACGAGACCTCATTTCTAGACTTGCACCGAGTTTCAACAATCTTACAGGAAGGGTTCCATATTGGAAGAGGAAAAGAGTTGTTCACCAACACCAGCTTCAATAAATTAGAATGAAATACAACCACAATACATCTTGTGCCAAGCACATGCAAAGCCAAGTGAGAAAATTCCTCCTCTCTTGCTATCAGTTATTATTGCTTTGTTTCACTGGAGTTATTGAAATATACTGTGGGATTGTAAGAACTCAACAACACTATGATGTAGCACATTACTAAGCTATATCACAACATTTTAGGCCAGACCTTCAGAGCGGTAAAAGCTTGTCTCTAGTTTTTTGGAGTTTCTGACTGTTTTCTCTCCCCATCAGGATAACTGTCCTGGCCGCCATCTGCCTCACTCAGGCCTTCATGATGTGGAAATTTATCAACTTCCAGCTGCGCCGATGGAGAGAGCATGCCCAGGCTCAGACCTTGAAAAAGAAACAAGTTCCTTCCAAGAGCAAATCAAAGAAAGACAAAGGTGAGCAGCGAGCACAAAGTTCTTCTTCCTCTTCTTCTGCAAAGCACTGAATGTGCCCCCGAGCAGTGAAATGCTTATCAAAACACACACTGCTTTAATGAAACACAAATGTGAAGTAAGAACCAGGAAGTCTTACAAACTTATCAACAAGTATTTGTTAGAATAGAATCCATACATGCATTTCTTCTGCTTACATACACTTAACCTCATTAATCAGTGAAATGTGACTAATTTGGATGTGCCCTTTGTTTTGTAGCCAACGGTGTAAATGGAGTGAACTCCCATGGAGCTGATTCACCAAGAGCAAGAAAAGAGAAGTCATCATAAATACATTCCCCCCATCCCCTTCCTGTGCCTCCTCGGCTGCATCCAACCAACACTTTCTCCAACTCCTCCACCATGATATGCATTTTTCAGCTCCCACACAGGACTTGACCTCCCAGCTGGACTTCCAGAGCCAGAATGCATTTAGCTTTACTTGTCGCCAGTCATCCAGCACGCCTTGATTTAGGAATCATTGCTCTGCTGTGCCATTTCGAATGAAAAAGGAAACAAATTCAGAAATAAACTATAAAAAGAAAAAGACCTTATTTAAGAAGTGCCTATTGATACGGATTGTTTTGTACAGGGTGTGTAATTTTAAAAATTCAGGAATGATGACTTCAGTGTTTAATGTTTCTCCCAAGTCAGGACATTTCATGCTTTTTCCTAAATACTGTGTATTCCAGCTTGTGTTTTATTTCCCCTTTTTGTTTCGTGTAATTGCTAGCCCAGCTCCTCTTCTTTGCCACTGATTTTATTTTTTGAGTTAATGTATTTCTTCTCCCTTATTTTTCCATGAGTGACTTAGTCTTATTATAATCTCCATCTTTGCTATGACTGGGTTCACACCCCAGACTGTTAAACCTCACACAGCAAGACATTGTTACAATGTTTCAACCATGTCACTGTCTAACAGACACCTAAATAGTGGAAAGCAAAGCAGAATATGAACGTTTTCAATACCCACTCATGGATAGAATAAGGAAGAGGTGTACAAAAGCAACCAAGGACAACAGGATACATCATTCTGTAATACTGTCATAAGATTCATAGTTCAGTATTATGCAAAACTGCCCTGTAACCTGTAGCATTTAATTACTGGAGTTCAGAGCAGCTTTGTAATCACAACAGAACATGTTCCTTGCCATGAAATTATACTTAATCTATTATGGTTCTGCCTAAAACACTGTTAATGAATGAACACACCGTGTGTTTTCATTTAGAGTGAAATGAAATAACTTTATAAGAGATGGAAAACAGATGGAAGTCAGGCAAAACGCCCCTTTAGTGAGTTTGATTGTATTACTGTCTTGTACAGTCCCTCTACATTTGCTGTATATGTGGAATGGGTTTACTGTATTTGTTTGGCTTTGCATATTATTTCTTAGATTTAAAAAAAAAAAAAATCAAGATTTGTTGTAAAAGCACAGTGCGAATGAGAGAACCACATTTTGTTCGGTTTCCCCCCCCCCTACCCTCTGTTGACTGTGCCAAATGAGCCTGATTGACTGTTGATATATGCCTTTTACTTACATGCCATAAAGTGAATTTCCAAAGCTATGGAGTGCAGTCAGCCGTATTGTAAGATTCAATCACCTAGGTAACACTGGCTTATTCTAAAGAATGAACCCATTAACTAATTTTAGGAACACAGTGTGAGTCATGGTTGTCTCTGGCAGTATATCAGCAGTGTATGTGGTTTTCTCAACTTGTTCTGAGGGTTTATCTATCATACAAAAGAATAAAATGTTTTATTGAAAAAAAGAGTTGTCGGAATTGTTACTGTACTAATAATAGTCAATTTTCATTTATTTGGCCCAATATCACACATCACAAATTTGCCTCTAGGTGCTTTACAATCCGTACAGCCTCTGGCACAGTTCATTAGACAGTTAATTCAGATTCAGATAAAGAAAAACTAGACAACAGAGGAGTTCACATTTTAACTTATACCTGAAGAGATACATTAAAATATGCAATACAATAAAAATACAAAGTGTTGTACCAGTAAGAGGGAAGGTGTAGTGTTTCCCAAACTAGGTCGCAAATAATGCTAGGAACCCCACACAGAAAATGGAGAAAACATTTTAGTATTATCTAATGCCCTACAAGCAAGGCTGCAGCTAGGATTTTAAAGTGTCAAGTCCCCCTTAACATATTCCTCACCATTTTCTGAAAAGAAATACCCAGTTATTGTGTATAATTTATAGCCCAACCTGAAGGTGTAAATGGTGTTTCAAAGCCTTTCCACATTGTCAATGTTGAAGCCTTTAGTTATTTAATAGTTTGTTGGTTTAATAGTCAAATTTAAAGAAATTAAACAATTTCATAAACTGCAGAGGACAGGACCTCAGTGTTGTTATTGGTAGCTGTAACCCTGATTGGAAAGTAGCACCCTGGCACATATTAAATAGTTTTTCTTTAATATATGGAGCACTGACCAAATCCTGTCCTCGGGTAAACAAAGACAATAGTATCCCTGCCAAACGGGAGCAACTGCGAGAATAAAAAAACCCTACACAAATGGCGGAGTGTGGCTGAAGGCGGCCACATAGAGTTTCTGTTCTCCACTCATGTTATGTGACCTTTCTGCCGCTGGGTGGCGGTGTTGTACAGGTTTTCACCGCGAGAACCCGCCTGCTTGCTCGTTTGATCCATGGATAGTGGACCTCACAGTAAATCAAAGGTAGCTACATAAGTAGGACACGCTCATTTGTGACATTTCTAAAGCTCGCAGTGTTGGTTTTCCGCTTGTGATTCAATTAATTATGTTCATTTCTTGAAGTAGCCAATAAAATGTTGAAAAAGCATGCCCTTGTTATTACACATTTTAACTGTCTAGTTACAGCCAGTGATAAGTGTTATAGCCAGTGTAGCATCTTAAAATCATCTAGGTAGGTCTGACATTTAACTTACAGACACGTGATTAAGGCAAACACAAATTCCCTTCATCAGCCTTTTTTTTTTATTATTTGCTGCGCACTGCTTTAAATCCATCATTTTATAGGTTGACATAAATCTTTATGACCTTTAATGTACATACATGTTGGCAGGCAGTATAACTACAGGTGAAGATGTATCGGTGTAACATGTATAATACACTTTTTGTTTTTTGTCCTATATTGAGAAACCTGAGTTGGGATAGGAGGGGGGGGTTACTTTAGTTTGCCCACCTTTTTTAAACCATACATTTAAAACACTAGCCACTGACATTCGTGACACGGTGTGTGTGTGTGTGTGTGTGTTTTTTTATTTTTTTATTTTTTACCTGTTGTCAGATTAAATTATACTATTCAAACATACAGCAAGTACCATGTCACCCTAACAGGTAAATCGCCGTGGTGGTGTTGCTTTACGAACCCCGGCGGTAACTGAGTTGATAGTGCTGGAGCCCCGTGATGTGGTTTGGTGTGGGGGAGGATAGCAGCTACCAGCCAGATAAACACTCAGCATTGGTTTGCACAGCAGGAGTAACATGGCGGCACAGTTAGCCAGCAGAAATGTTGTTTCACTACCGCGAAGGTCAGAGCCGCGTCTGATAAACGGAATTTAACAGCGAGGACACAGCCGAAAGTATTAAATCGTAAGTAGCCACACGTGTTGGTGTTCCTTGTTGAGACGGGACGTGGTGTTTTCGTTGTGAAATCCATTATCCAATGTGAGGTCTTCAATCTCGGTTGTGTGTCTGTCTGGCACAGGCTCTCGCTTCGGCGTTAGCTTATTAGCAAGCGTTAGCTTCTTGGCTAAGCCCGCTGCCTGTGTCAATAGTGTTTTCTGCAGCAAACTCAATTAGACGGCTCAGACAGCGAGCTTGCAAGCGAGTTTATTTGCAATGTTTGTCAGCCGCTTTTATTCGCTGGCTGTGCGGCCACACATACATTTGATGAAAAGTAAAAAAAACCTAGCGTGCACAGTACTTTCATATGTGATTGTTTTTTTGTGCTGAGTGAGCGGGTGACCGTGCATACAACACCGGACTAAGTTCGCCAGTACAGCAGGAACGTAGTTAGCATGCTAACTGTTTTAGCTGCAGGCTAGTCTGGCTGGTTGAACGTCGTTGTCAGAATATACGAGTGAGTCAGGACAGTTCTCACCACCATGTGTTTGAGCGGGCAGTTAACCTTGTTTGTTGTGGTGTTAGGCATGCCTCTGTGCCACTTGCTACGTTAGGTAAGTTGTCGACATTTCTGCATTTGTTCAGGTTGCATGGATCATTCTCATTTTTTTTTTTTTTTTTTTTTTTTTTTGATGAACTAATGTTTATCTTGTGTTTGCCTGGCGTTACTATGTATTGTCGAGGTGCTGCTCTACTAATGTGTTAGTTAGCAGCCAAGCTATAATGTGAGCGTTTGTCACTTAAAACCAGTAGCTTCCAGCATTTGATACGTTTTCAGAAAGTTGTCCATGGACTCGGCTAAAAACCTAGAGTATGTCTCTTATCTACACTCAAGATTTGGGGGGTGCACAGTGCTTGCTGTTTGTTGTGGCTATGCTGTCCAAGTAACTTAAAATTATGTTTTAAAATGAACAGGATGGAGCCCAATTACTAGCGATTCACATGGGCTTCATTGCCTAGATGTAAGAGGGGGGACTTTAAATTGAATACATAAGATGCACTCTGACAATGTAAGGCACCCATGCAGTATGGGGGAATGCTGCTTCTCTGTTGCTTTGTTGTGCCAGTGTTGAGAGTATACTGCTCTCCTTTTTTTTTTTTTTTTTTTTTTAAGGGCTCTCCTGCTTGACTGATTCAGGACTATACAGGCAGACAGCTTGTGCCATTTCAATGCTTGTCAACGCTCCTCTCAGTAATGCTGGAGGAACGCATCCTGTGGAACCAGTTGAGCAGTTTCTGTTGCTTCACTCTGCCCACCTGATGGTGCACAGTACTCAGGTCACATCACCATAGAAGATTTAACATGACATGTTGTCCAGCTGCAGTTCACCTGCAACTTCAGGGCTCCCGTGCAGATGTGATGTGATGGATTTCAGACAGCTCTGACATATGCGGAGTAAGCACACAGGACGTTTGACAGAAACATTGGTTTGGATGTGGTTCATATTTTTTATTAACAGTGCATTGGAAAGGGCAGAGGAATATAAATTATTGAGTGTAAGGAACTGCATGCATGTGTTGTCTGTTTACCACTTTAAAAAAAAAACCTCTTCCTGTAGAGTAGCCTTATGTCTCTAAGGCATTTTAATCTACAGTGAAACAAAACTTGCTCTTTACAAGTATTTATTTTAGTGTAAAGAGGCCGATCAAACAGTTTGTCCTTGAAAGTCAGAACAAGTGAAGAAATAAAAAATTCTCTTAAACTGACCTTATTTTCGATGTTAGATGGGGACATGGAGCATGCATACAATGCCTGTGACAGCCCTCTCCAGTTACAAGAAATGCAGTCCTGTACAGATGGAATCATGCATTCCTTCAATGTCTATTGTTGCTTTTGTTGTTTGTTTGTTTCTTAAGGTTGAAGCCTAGTAGTCTGTATTAAGGAGCCTATAACAGGGCTTTTGCATTTGGCTGGTACACTGAAACATTAGTTTCATGTCATTTCGACTTAACAGTGCAGAAGAAGGACTATGTTGGGATGATGACAGTCCAGGAATTCAGACGAGCTCGCGTGTATGCAAGTATGTGGATGTTTACACAAGGATAACTGACTGGAGGTTTTCTCACACTGCCTTGGCACAGTTCGTTTAATGGGTGTTACCTTTAAAGTAATTCTCTCTCTGAACACATTGTAAACTACATCTATAGCAACAGGTGTGTGACAGTAATGCCCAGCTAGTCACATGATTCAGAAAAAGGTCTCTACCCATCCGTTGCTCTATAGCTTGCTTGTTGTCTTCTCCCAGGCTGGGCTCCGCTCCGCTCAGCCCTGTAATTTGCTTCACACAAACCCGTCTTTCTGTGTTGGTGTTTGGCTCTTTTTGGTTGTCCATCCTATGTTGAATGTGTGTTCATAATTCTGTAAAACAAAGCAGTATTTTCCAGTACAAACTCTCAGCTTGTAATCACTGACTTTTGCCCTGTGATAGGTTGCTTTGTTGCGTCACCTGAGTGATACTGTAATCGTTTGACCCTTGTTCTCTAGCATACGCTGCCAGTTTTTGGGTTGCTGTCGGTCATTGTTGACCTAATATAACCTATTTTACATGTTACAAATACATCTAAAAACACAAACAATAGAACAGGGTGAAAATGTATAATAATTACTGAGGTTGTCTGCTTACTAGAATTACATTTGGTTATTTAAATTGCATTTTAATAGAATTGTTGGGGGGATGCTGTACTAAGAATTATACTTGAGGTTAATACTGATTGATACTTGATTTTTGAACATAGAAGTTTCATCTAGTTACACAGCCTTATGTGTCAGTTGTACACGAGGATGATCTATAAGATTTGGTCAGTGATTTCAAGCGAAATGCCAAGTTTGTGTACCCCAAGTGAATGCACTGTGTGACATACAGATGTTGGGTTGAATACCTAAATCACATGGTGTCCCCAGGTAATTCTGGTCCGTTGTTATTAGGGCATTAAGCTTATCTTAACAACTGAACTTATTTCTGGCTTATAACCAAAGCACCATTGAAATCATAATCAGTTTTACAAGAATTTAGAACACAGCAGCAAAATTCACCTCTAGGCTTTTAAACTCATTTAGAGCTGAAATGATTTATCAGTTAATCAAATCGTCTATCTATAGAAAATTAATGGACAATATTTTTTTCATAAGCGATTGGATGCAGCTTCC